AACTATATATATATATATATATATATATATATATATATCTATATATACAACCTCTCCATACTTCCCCTCCAAAATCTCTTCCCTGTGCGCATGCACGTGCGTGTTGGAGCTATAAGGTTGCAACTTTAAAATGTTGAATTAAAGATGCACTTCAAAAATCCATCGGAGAATGTTGTTTTAATGTTGAAAAAACCTTTTTATTGATCATCTTGACATCGAGATGAATGAATATGAAAAAAAAAAAAAAAAAAATATTGAGTCTCAGAAATAGTGAATCTTGCAACATATTATGGAGTAGATGCAACTTTATTAGAAAAAGAGTAATACAAAACTGTTACAATGGTCACTAAGAAAGCAAACATTCAAAAAATTACTCTCATATGTAATTTTATTTATGATGTTGATGTTTGCCTTTTTTTTTTTTGTAAGAAGAATGAGTATATGTATTATGGTATCCATATATTTATAGTTGTATTCACGTATATTTGTATACACTTATATTTTTCTATTTTCTATGGAGTAACAATGTTCAGTTCAATATATTTTGTATATTAATGTAATTTAGAACTATTTCTCTCTCTCTCTTAAGTATCTAATATTCTTAAATAGTTTGAATCTCTCTCTCAAGCATAAGATATTCTTAAGTGGTTTGAGTGGCGAATAATTTATTTTTCCATCAGATATTCTAAGTGGTTGGAGTGGTGAATAATTTATTTTTTTATAGTACATCGTGAATGATTTGGTATTGAATTTTTGGTGGTTTTGTAGTTTTGTGGCTTGAATATATTCGTACATTGAATCGGTTATAATTTGAGTGTAGGAGATCAAGGATAATTGAAAACCACATATTTGCATTGCTTGCTGCTTGAATTTACTTTGTTTCTCTCTCTAGATTTGCTTTCCACCTTATTTCTTTCTATGGCCAATTTCCAACTCGTTCTTGTCTAAGGCTACTTTCGTGTTTCTCTCTCTAAAAGTATTGTTTGCGAAGGCCACCATTTTCATAACAGTAGAGGAACATGAAAAGGCTATAGATTGCTTGGGTCAAATTCTTCTTACCAATTTTGTTTAGATTTTCAATGGGCCAATCTTTACTTGAAGAATCAGATTCGGTGGCATCTCACTCTCTCAATAGGGTCGCGAGGGATACCAGAAAAAAGATTTTTAGAAGGCCCAATTAGCTATGTAAGAGTGGGAAAATAACTTCAGTTTTTTTCGACTTTTATTTGAAAAAACTTTGCGAGTCTGACATTCAAACTAGCTCCTACCAACTATTTCTTATATTTTTTTTCTGTCTGATAATTAACCATCTCTTACACAAATACGATTTATACTACACTATATTGCTCAACACAAATATTTTCCTTGTTTTCATTTATATTATTTCCTAATGCTCTCTCAATTAATAATTTTTTTGTTACCAATTAAAAGAACTCTGTTTCTTGAACAAGCATGACATCCAATTAATAGAAACAAGCATGACATCTAATTAATAGCTTTAGATCAAGAGTCTAGACCCTCATATCTCTCTCTCTCTCTCTGAACAAATAGAAATGTCTCTCTATTCCTACTCTCTCTCCCTACATATTGTACACTTAAAACGTTTTGAATGACTTTATTATAATTTGAGCTATAAATGCAGAAGACAGCAACTGTAAGGAGGATGCTATAAGATTCTAGCAACATATTCCAGCAACATAAAAACAATTTGAGAAATCACCATTAAGATCACGAGCCTATCTTTCACTCTATATAGAAGTTCAAAATTGCAATGGAACCATTCATAAATAATTTAAATCGTTTGCACCGATATAAAAATCATAAAAAGTAAAATGATGTAAAAGAACCTTCTTCATACCCAATGAGGATACTACATAACACTTTATGATCTAAACTAAATTTGACGGAACCAATATGATATTTCTCCATGATAAAACAAAATATATTGAATACAAATTTGCTTCTTGTCCTAATAATCCATCTACAATCAAGTACAAGTTTGCTTCTTAGCATGGTCTCTGAACCCACTTTCTCTCTAGCTCGATGCAAGTTCAAGGGGTGCATCAAGCCACGGTGTGCATTTAGCAGGAACAACAATCACCAATGGAGGGTCTATGATCTACCTGTATGAATAAAATGCCCCATGTCACAAAGCAGAAAATAACAAACAATATTTCATAGCATTCCTAGTCCTGAGTTCACTAATAGTGATCCTGAGTTAACAGTGGACAGTTGTACGTAGGTGAATAGAATGTGCATCCATGCACTTGTTGACTACACGATGGTGGGCTAAGATTGAACAATCATACAATTTTCCTTGTAAGCACAATTACAAAATAAAACTTTAGAATTTAGCAAATGAAAGCACATACATTTTTCATTGTAAGCACAATCACAAAATACAACTTCATAATCTAGTAGATGAAAGCGGTGAACAATCATTCATTTTTCATTGTCTAATATCCACCTGTATGAATAAAATGCCCTATGTTACAAAGAAGGAAATAACATACACTATTTCATAGCATTCCTAGTCCTGAGTTCACTAATAGTGTTCTTGAGCTGAAAACATAGCAAAATGAACATATTATTATGTAAGAAAAATTGTACAACACTGTCACAATTTCCATATTAGCATGGAAATGCAATAATAAATTGCATGCAAGCAGTTTTGTGTGAGATAGGCCTAGGCCTAGGCCTAGTGATTTACATGTAGATTATTACAAAAGTGTTTTAGAACGTGTTTTGTCCATACCATCAATGCACATCTGCTGTCACTTGACCTCCTTGCTTAAGATGGGCTCTACAACACCATCATGTTTACTACGTGTTTTGTCCTTAGCCCTGTAAGAGGAAGATAAATTCATATGTTAGTATTCCAATTGAAGCTAATACAATTGTAAATCAAATACATCAACAATAATGAGGATAATACAATTGCAAATCAAAATAATGTAAAGGTATGTAGTTGTACCTATCACAAATGAAAGACGGGCAGTTCTTTTTGTCATGTCCGCTACCATTGCAGACTGCGCATTTCCTTTTTTTTGTCTTCGGCTTCCATCCCTCGGAATGAGCTTTCAATCTTTTAGTGGTCGGTCGTTCCTTTGTCCGTTCTCGTGGAGGTTCGAGGACATTGTGGCAATGGTTACGTCCACTTGGTGTGTTACTACAACTAGCAGAATTCTCATCTTCATTGACATGGCTCATGGCATTATCCTGTGGACCTCTATTGCACACAAACTTTTCATCATATTGACAAATTCCATTTTGTATTATGGACATTATAAACTTGTGCCCTTCTACACTTTGTGAAGCACCCTCGACAAGGGATCGACTTGCCTTCACAGCCTCATTAAATCTAATGGAGCGTGGTAGTTCAAAAGTTACTTGAATTTGTTCCCCAATTTGATCAATGAAAACTCCCTTTTTACATCCTTGGTCCAACTCTTCATTATATATTGTGGAGGGATTTCAAACACATCTTTCACCATAAAAATCTTCAGTACATGCCTCCAAAGAAGGCCCATCCTCTTAAAGAAGTGACAACTGCAAGAAATAGAATTGTCGTGGCAATTGAATCTCACTAAGTAGAGTCTAGATCCCATCCCTAGGACTATCACCTTAAAGGTAGCAACCTGTCCATTGTCTTCAAATGTCTCCCTTGTAAAATTCAAGCAATTAGTCACCTCTTCCCCAAATATCTTCAAAATCTTTTGAGTATGGATTTTTTATGCTTGTGACTCAATGAAAGTGGTTGTTCATAAGACTGGAGTAGTTTGAATATCTTTCAAGTCATTTTCCCTCTATTTCGCACCTTCTTATCTTGAACTTTTGCAACAACTTCTAATAATGTACGCAAGCTTGTTGTGGGTGTCAAGTACGTTCCTTCACTTCTTTGAGTAGATGTCATACCCGCTGTAAACGTGTCAGCTAAGTATGCATCAACCCATTGCATTCGGCAACTATAAAGCCTACTTAGCCATTCATTGTCTTCCAAATGATAATTCTCAATAATTGATTTCCATCCTAATTCAAATTCTTCAATTGTTGGGCAGTCACACATCTCCTAAAGGTATCAGAATAAGAAGGATGCATACGTAAGACATGACACATTTTTTCTTTGATCTTCGTAAATATGTGCCACTTACAATAATGATGCTTTCTTTAAAAAAAAACTTGTCTTACTGCATATGAAATTGCAGGATCTTGATCAGTGAGAATAACTCCGGGCTACTGTCCACTCATGGCTTCTAACTAGTT